TGTTTATGAACTAATTGATGAAAAACATCTAGAAGGAATTGTGATAGATTCGGTCGAGATGCAGTCCTAGAAATGTTGCCAATCAACATCCTGTAATGATGACTTTAATTCAAGTATGCTGTTGGAGTTTATGATCCTCCTGAAAATAGGAATGGTGTCAGTATCTACATTGTTTTTGTTTTTAATGAATTGGGCATAGTTATCTGAAAGGCACAAATCCATTACACCCTTTGCGTATTATTCTTCCCCAAGACTGGTAAAATGATTATCAATACAGCTAAATGAACCATTCTCAACTCTAGTAACTTGTGTAATTCTGGCATGGAATCCAAATGAGTTTGGATTCCAATTCAAGAGATTCATAGAGGGTTTTTGAAAGGTAAAGTTAAAGTCATCCAACAGTATAACATCAAAAAAATCACTTTCTTTCAGATACAAGAAAAGTTTGCCTGGCTTGTTAGAAAGTTCATGAATATTCTAATTCAAATGAAAATTGAATATATGGTAATAACTTTCTACTTCAAAAAATATTTTTCCATTAAAAGAATATTACTGGAGTTTCATTTCAACACCAAACCGTTATTTTCAACACCTTGACACACGTTTCAATCACCAAGTGATCATCTTCAAGAAAAAGATTAAACTAAATCTACATACAATGTTGTTCTTATTTATACCATAGATACATCTGCTAAGTACCTGCGTCGTAATTGTCTTAAAATTACAATGTTGCCTTATCTATTAGTCAGATAGATCTGATAGTTCTAGTTCTTTGAAAAGATTTTCAAAGAACTAGGTATGAAGGTGGTATTTAAAACAAGTCATACACTACAAAACATTTTAGGAAATCCAAAAGACAAAGTCGAGAATTCGAAAATGGTCTGGAATTTACGAAATTAAATGTAAGGACTGCGATGTAAAATATTATGGACAGACAAAAAGATCTATTAAAATAAGATATAAGGAACACTTAGCACACCCAAAATATGGAAGACCAGAAAAATCAGCAGACGCCAATCATGTTTTGCAACAAAACCATTCCATAGACTTTAGTTCGTTCAGATTAGTTAGACAAGTTAACAACAACAGGCATCTAGATGCCTACGAGAGTTTAGAAATAAGTCTTCATAATAATATTATGAATAATAATGGTGGACCAATACCTAATAGTTGGCGGGTTGGCCGTCCTTGTTCATCTTCCACTGCCTGAGCCACTGTGTCTGCTATTTCTGCAAGTGCATTGGCTTGGGATGTGGGGGTTGAGCAAACCAGCCATCGGATGTCTACTTCCTTGTAGCCCCGCTGGATATGGAAATGACAGAATCACTTATGGTTGTGTTATTTCCTAACTGAATGGCATCCCAACGATGGCTTAATCCTAAGGTGTGTGTATTCTTGCCGAGAGGATGAATGACACTGAGCCTATCAGCTGTCTCTAACAAAATCTTCGAGACACCGGGCGCCCTCTCGTTGTAGCTATGCCTTGTCGCGGTAATGCTGGGCTCTGCCGTGATTGATCTTCCTTCCCTAGTTACTAGTGGGACCTTTATAGATAAAGTAAATTTTGAAAACCCTTCTGACGTTGAGTCTACAGAGGAGATGGAAGTCGAGTTACCGACTCCAACTGAAATCTCTGAAGCGAGGTCTTCTCTCTTCAACTCCTGATTCAGGAACGAAACCTAAATAAAGGTTTGGTGGTGCAGCCAGGAAATGACTGGGTCGCCTGTAGAAGCTATTCCCGATGAATGGGCCTTAGGTTCAATTCAGGGCTGCACATTTCAACATGGATGGTTACAGATCTCCTGTGAGGATCAGGACAGCACCGGCAGTTGAATGAGCTATCAAGTCGTTTCAGCCCTTCAAATCTCCTGGAGATGATGGTATATTTCCAACTCCTCTTTAAAACGGATTGGAAATGATTTTACCCAATCTCATAAAATTTTATAGAGCTAGTCTGGCATGAAACTACATACCACCTAGTTGGTTGGTAGCAAGGTGGTATATATACTTAAAGTGGGCCGAAAAGACCCACACCCCAAATCGGTACGACCAATCAGCCTTGCATCCTTCATGTAGAAAGTACTTGAGAGGATACTGGAGGCACACATCAGGAAGGTTGCTTTATATGCAGCCCCCCTAAATAACCACCAGTATGCTTATCAAACCGGCAAATCGACAGATTTAGCACTAAACAACTTTGCAGAAAAATCTCCCAAATACCTTGACAACAAGGAGATTGTGGTTGCTGTATTTCTTGATATTGAAGGAGCATTTGACAATACACTACCTAAATCTAGAGGATCAGCCCTAGCTGGAAAAGGCATAGAAAAAATATATGTTTAAAATATGTTTTTTCCGTTAACCAGCTATCGCACCCCTACGAACGATAACACTCAGAAGTCGAAACTTGTGCGAGCTAAGGGCTAACGAGGTCTTACCTTTTAACATGTGATTCCTAACACGGGTTGGACGATAGCAAGTGAAAATCGAGCGATCAGCCTGGTGCTTGAACCATCGTTTCACACATCGGCCAATTGACTGAGTGAACAAAGCACCCACGTCGAACCGCCCAGCTACCGACCGACCGTAACTGGATGGATCCATGCCATGCTAGTAAACAGAACTGCAACTACGACTAAGGGTTTACCCCAAGATGGTGTACTATCTCCCCCTTCTTGATGAATAGTCTCCTTGATGCCCTCGTTAGAAGAGAAGTAAATCTGCAAGTTTATGCAGACGACCTTGATATCTTGGCAAGGTCCACGTCGGGAAGGGTGCGTGCAATATCCTTCAAAGTACGATGGACGTGGTTCACAGTCGGTGCCAGAGGGAGCAGATGTCTGTCAACTCCAACAAAACTGTGATAATCCCCTTCACCAGGAGGAGAAAGTTGGACGATCAACGCCACTTTCCCTTAATGGTGAGGTCATTCCATTTGGAACAGAAGTGAAATATCTTGGCAATGTCCTTGATAAAAAACTCACCTGGAACGTTCATTTGGAAAAAGTTTTACACAAATCCAGACTGTCCGTATGAACATGTCGAAAGATTTGTGGTAAAACTTGGGGTTTAGGTCCCAAACAAATCCACTGGATATATGTGATGATTGTCAGACCAATGATCACTTATGGGGCAATTGCCTGGTGGTGGAAGGCTTTACGGAAAACGGTTCAGCGAAGCTCACTGGCTTACAGAGACAGGCTTGTCTGGCTATGTATGGTGCTATCAGTACCAGACCGTCACCGCCCATGGAAATCCTTCTAGAACTACCTCGTCTCCACATTTTTCTGGAGAGAGAAGCTAGATGGACTGCATATAGACGCGTGCACTATATTGCTTTGTGCGATTTGCGATGTGCACAATTGCAGAGTGCTCTAGACTGCTGGCTGACACTGGAAGTCACAGCATTCTGAAAATGATGACAATATGCCTCCAACTGTCAATTGAGAACTGCCTTATACAGTACTTTTCCCGAGTAGATAGGATTGAATCCTGCGGGAGAAGGAAATTTTAAGAACAGATAGTTGTTGGTTCACAGATGGATTAAAAACAACTTCGGGGTCTAGTACAGGTGTTTTTAGTTGCAGACCCACGACAGAGTTATCAACCTGCCTAGGAACCTGTGCGACTGTATTTCAAGCAGAAATTTACGCTATTGAATTGTGTGCGGAGAGATTGGAAGAATCCAACCTCATACAAAAGTTAATAAAAATATT